GTGAGACACTGCCCATCCTCACCGCTGTTCCTGTGCCAGAGCCCATGGTGTCAGCCGCCGCGTCCACCCATCCCCGCCACCACTGCCCCTCACCTTTACTAAGCATGACGTCCTTCTCTAGGGACCACGTGTCCTAAGTGTATAAAAGGAAGTCTTGCCGTTCTTTCCTCTAAGGAATATTCTGGCCTTACTTCTTCCAAGACAGACGGGTTTGTCCTTTGAGCAGTTCATGGTGCTCCCAGTAGTCTCGTGTCCAACCTTCATGCCCACAGGAGGCGATGGACAGCGCCACAGCTCAGGGCAGGTACACCTTAGTCCTCAAAGTGAGACCCTGGCTTTCCAGCACTGAAGAGGGCCCGTGCAGCACATGGACCCGATACTACGCATTTTGTGATCTCTAGACGGCTGCTTCCGTGAGCATTGCCTGTGGGTCCCCAGCAGGACAAAATCCTTGACAACTTCCACCTTGTCTCCATCCATCGCGATGCTACCTCTTGGTCCAGATGTGAGGACTTTGGGCTTTACCTTGAGTTGTGCAGACTGAAGGCTGCAATCTTTGATCTTGATCAACAAGTCCTTTCAAATCCTCTTTCAAGGCTGTATCATTTGCATACTGCAGGTTGTTAATAATCCTTCCTTCGATCCTGATGCCGCACACACTCTTCATAGAATCCACCCTCCCTGAGGATTTGCTCAGCATATAGATCGAACATGCATGGTGAGAGGATACTACCCTGATGCCCACCCTTCCTGTTAAATCACGCAGCTGTGTTCACACGCCTGCCTTTCGATCCATGTAGCAGTTCTGAGTGAGCTCAAGGAAGTGCTCTGGAACCCCGTTCTTCTCGAGGTGACCCGCGGTTTGCTGTGTCCACACAGTCAAATGCCTTTGCATAGTCAACGAACCAACGGGGCGTCTTTGGGTATCTCTGCTTGGAACCAAGATCCTATGGCATCAACAGTGCGGTCCCGGTTCCACCACCTCTTCTGGGTCTGACCTGCACGTCAGCTCCCAGCTGTGCTTGTGTGCAAAACCTGTTCTAGACCTGGAGCGTTCTGCGGGGTCACCTTTCTCTACAAATGAGGATCTCTTCCGGTCAGTTGGCCGTTAGCTGTGCTCCAAGATGCCTGGCACAGACAGGCGAGTGAGTGCTGCCTGGGAACATTCCAGGGGGAGCCCATCCGTTCCTGGAGCCTTGGTTTGGGCTCGTGCATTCAGTGCAGCTTGTCCCTTGGCCCCACCACTCCTTTCGGAGGTGGAAGAGTTTGGACTAGTTCTCAGTCAAATGGGGGAGTTCAGTGGGGACGTGGTGGATCGTCCCCGCTCCAGAGGTGCTGTGGCACTCCTGGGTGACTTCTTTTCCTAGGTAAGGGTCGTTGCAGTGGCTCACCCTGATCCCAACACGCCCCACTCCTGGCATCACTTGTGCTGCGGGGCCCTGGCCCTGGCTCAGTGCCTGTTCCCTTCTGAGGTGGGGAAGGAGCCTCGTGGTTCGGGGAGTGCCCTGCCCTGCTGTGAACTCAAGGCCAGCAGCTTGACCTGGGCCACGCTGAGAGAACCATGGGGCTTTGCTGCGCCCGTGGAGTCCTAGCCTCGGAAAACCACGGGGCAGTGAGTTCTACCCGGTCCTGCAGGGGCAGGGTCGCGAGGAGCCCCAGCCCACTGGACGGTGAACTGGTCCTTTCGGTTTGGACCGGTGGAGTCACAATTTGTAGCCCTGGGACCCCCCCCCTGGACCCACCGCAAGGTGGACCTGACCTCCGTAGGCTCCAAATGGGATGTGGCAACGGAGCTGTTCGCTCCACCGCCTTTAGCGTCACTTCAGAGCCAGTGCCCAGCGATCCCTGGAACATCTGATGGCCTCCATGTCCCCAGTGAATGGCCTCCTTGAAGAGGATGGAGATCCTTTTTGTGAAGGTTGGGCAAACGTGGATACTTTTTTGATACTCAGGTTCTTCATTCAAAGGTTCTCTCTCCGCTCGGCGCACTGCCCTCTCTGCATCTGACTCACGGTGAACCTGTGGGACAGGTAGAGCTGCCCTGTGGGTCTCTGAGACAACTCCCCGAGGAGTAGAAAGCCCCCGTCTTTGCTTTGGGGAACAGCTGGTCGTTTTGAACTGCTGACTCTGCAGTGTCCCCCACTACACCACCAGAGCTGTTCCGAGGGTCACGGTCTAACTGGCAACTTTGGGGGGGAGGTGGGGGCGCAGAACGGCTGATTCTCGCTGTCCCACCTGCCTAGTCCATCTTGTTACTGGGGACGCTGCCCACTTGTGACAGTGGGACCTTGCTGCTCCTGGGGAAGATGGGCCAGATTGAGGGGGCTCAGGCTCAGGAACCGTGAGAATCGGAACGGGCAGGCCGTCATTCTCCTGAGCCTCTCCTCCACGAGCGGGATGTCCACAGTCCATGATGCCGGCCGGCTCCCGCCGCTGCTGCTCCGGAGCATCCGGTGAACTTCCTCCAGGGCAGGTTGGTTCTCCGGGGGCGGTAATGGAGGTGCAGCAGTGCCACCTTCTCCCTGGCTCTCGGTCTCACTTTCCCGTGCACCGAGGGGACGGGAGTACCACGGCCTCGTCCTCAGAGGCAGCCATGCGCTGGGGGCTTTGAGAGGCTCCTCTGTCCATCTTCAGACGGCTGCTCCCGGCAGCGGGGTTGTGGATTGAACAAAATGCAGTCTGACCACACCCATCTCTCCATCTGTCCTCCAGCTCCTGGTGACCTCACCCCACACGCGTGCAGTCCCTGCTTTGCTCCCCAACCTGGGCAGACTTCTGGTCCCGGTCGCCTCCAGATCACACACCTGGGTGGATGGCGCCTGAGCTTGTTCCCGCCCCCACCACCACCTGGGCAGCTTTGTGGGCCTCCTCATCTACCCACTCACCTAGGGAGCCCTCTGGTCTCTGCCAGCCTCTCCCTGTGTATATCTGGGCAGGTCCTCCCTGCCCAAGTCACCAAGCAAGGGCCCTCCACTGCTCCGACACTGACCCCACCCACTTTCCTGCCCTCCTGTGCGCCTCCCCACCCAGCCTTCCGACAGCCCACTGCCTGCCTG